AAAGGTGGAGTTCACCCTGAGGTATGTTCAGGAGCTGCCCTTGGACGTTGATGGGGCCATACGCTATGTGCTCCCAGCCATCCTAAATCCTAGATACCATCTCCCTGGTGAATCATTTTCCCCTTTGAATACTGGGGTGGCATAATAGGGGATTATTTTTCCTCATTTTGGGGTGTGCCGAAACTATTAGAAAGGAAAACAGAATGAAAGTAATTTTTTGCAGAACATCTTAAAGACAGTTGCCTTGATATGAAAACTCCTCTAGTCCCCTTGGAGGAACTGCCCTACACAATCAGCATGGTTGCCACCATCAGCTCCCAGCATGGCATCCAGAGGGTCCACTCCAACTGCCCCTTGAGTGCTGTTGAGTTCCTTGCAGATGATAAGACTTCTGCTCAGATAATCAGTAAGAGAGGACTGTTGTTGCCAGGACCCTATTCCTTTGGTCTTGACTTTGTCCAGCCCTTCCCAGGGGGTCCTTACTTTTCCCTATTAACCCAGAGGGGGATGCACTATGCTCCCTCCTCACCCAGGTTTAATCTGCTGAGTCTTCTCCTGATTCTCCCTCTGCTCCTGGTCATGCTCACTGGTGGAGGAAGCTTGTGGCCCTCAGCTCTGACCTCAGATCCAGGCAGCAGAGAGTGGGTTATAACCTGATTCCCTTGATAGTCCCCAACTCAGGTTTCCTTGGCTGAAGGACACAAGTTTAACAGGGATGTGGAACTCCTGATTTACTACAGAGAAGTACACAGCCCCCAAGTATCTGAGGAGATGGGGATGCCTGAGAAGAAGCCAGGTTTTTTTTTTCTCCCTTTGTGCTCACTTTTTGGCAGATGACTGTCTTAGAATCACTCTCAAATATCCTCACTTCCATTTTCTATCCAATAGCAGCTAAACCTACTCAAGTGAAATATTGAAAGAGCTTCACTGCAGCATGCAAAGAGATTGGCTTGGGAGTACCCTGTGGCATTGTCTTATAGGCAAGTTTAAGTAGTAGTTAGATGAATAATGTGAACAAATAATTCATAACAGAAAATACAGGCATTTATATACATGCAACAGTGATCAGTCCAGATATAAATGCAAATAAAAATGAGCATATGACATCTTTATATTTTAAAATATCAAAGATTTGCAAGTATAATGCTTCATGTTTCAAAAGGTATAGTGAGTTTGGCACTGTCATAGATTACTGTGAACAAAATGTTCTGTGTCGATCTTTTCAAGACAGATTTTGCCATATATATCTAAATAAATGCTCAATTTGGTAACTGCAATTTTTGGAATGTTACCTAAGGAAATAAATCTAAATACAAACAAAAATATGCACTGGATACACTTTAATAACAAATTTTAATAACATCAAGTGTTAAATGATTTAAATTCTTTCATTCACTATGCTGTGCCCTCATTAATGTGATAAGTTAATATGTAGCTACTGAAATATTATACATTGGCATTTTGGAATAATTTGGAAGAAAGGCCTCCATGTAACTGGAAGTAATAAATAAGTCTCACAAGCAGGTTACCGCTATAAAATAACATATGCCATAGGAAAAAACATTTTTTAAAAAAGGAAGTATGAACAGTCATTGGGATTAGATTAAGACAATGTTTGGTTTCTTAATTTCTTTTTATATTCCAGTGAATAACCCTTATTGATAGATTCTTCATACCTACATGTAATATTCCTGAAATTCTTTCTTTTTTTAAATTGTGACAAATAATAAAATTTAACACCTTAAATATTTCAAGTGGACAGTTCTGTGACCTTAATTAATTTATCTTTCACCACAATCACCAGTATTCATCTCTAAAATTTTATAAAGCCCTAATTATTAATTTCTAATACTGTTTAGTGTCTTAGTAAGTTCAGTTTCTTACTTTTCCCTAATTTTTCTTATTATCTAAATCTTCCTGAACACATATGTGCTTTTCCTAATAACAAAAATTGGTACAACCAAGTCAGTCTATTGTTCTCTTGGGCCTTCCTGGCTGCCTGTATTGGGGTGCAGGGACCATAAAGTATTACTGGAAAGATACCTCCACTCAGCAGCATTTTCCACATGGTTAGAATGGAGGTATTGTTGGGGACAGTCACATTCACAGTGACATGTTTGGGACTAGACTCATGCTTATACAACTACAACCGCTGTGAAGACAATTCTCTGGAGTCAGTTTCCACAAGCCATCCCAGGCTCTCATTACTGATGTGTGGCCAAGGTAATTTCATACACTTGAGCTTGCAAAGTGACATTCTTTGGGTGGCCTCACTTGGCAACCATAATTCCTTAGGGCCAGCTGTCCATGATGAGGTCCCAACCTCAAAAATGTTTGCTATAACCAGTTCATCTCCTATGAAGCTGCACTCTCTGCCTTGTACATTAGTTATCTGTGTTTGATTCCTATTGCTGAGCTCTTCATGCCTGTGAAATACATTATTAGTGATTGGTTCTCAGAACATTATTTCATAGTGTTCAATTTTGGAAGATAAGGATTGAGATTTCTCTCTCTTTTCTTGTCTGATATTTTTCTAGGCCCCATGCAGATGTTCTTATCTACTCCCATGGCCAGTTCTATAGCCCACAGAGGGACATCAAGGGCATCCTTATCAGTCTCATGAATCTCTTCCAGCAGTGATATTCAGGTGCAGCTTTGTAGCTCACATATTTGGTCGATTTGATTTGCTGTACACTTAACCACAAGGAAGCAAATGAAATCTTGAAATGGCAACCTGGCTCAATAAAAACGTTTTATTGTTGTGCCTCATGAAGCATACCAGTATAGAGGGGAAAGCACAACATTATTTTTTAAAAATTTAGAAGAATTTACTATATTAAGGGAATGATGTCTTTTTAAAATTTAAATTTAATTAAAAAATAACTGTATAAAAATAACTTTTAGAAATAATTTTATAAAATTATTAAGAGTTAAATATTAGTTGAGTCCTCAGCTAAGTTTCATAAGGGTATTGTATCACTTAACCAACAAAACAATCATATTAAGTAGATATTATATACCTTGATTTTTCAGATGAGGAAACTGGGGATAGCAAGGGGTAGGGTTAAGGTTTGAAAAACCTTGTTTGAAAACAAGGAAGCCAAGATTGGTGAAGTTAAAGATAATTTGAAGGAGGCTGAAAGAATTATAGTAGACAATACACATGCAGTGCTCACCATGTGTCTGGTGGTATTCTGAACAGTTCATATGTACTAACTCCCATCATTCTTATTCAACCTTTCTGACGTCTCAGGACAGTGGCAGCCCAACAAAACCCTTGTCACAGAAAGGAATCTACCTTACTCATCAAAACAATGCTGCATTGTATAACCAGATGTCTGGATTGTATATACATCATTTTTTCAATTAGTCTTTATCAAATATTTTGTGAATGATACCTACTATATTCAGTAGCCTGTTTGATTAGTAGAGTATCCCATGAATAAAGGATTAAACTGAAACAGGTTCCATAGTCATATTGAATCTCAGGCTTCTAAGGATTTAATTCTACCATTCTAGATTCAGTTTATAAAAATACAATAATGGTACCTCATTCCATATCCTCTTATATTCTCTGAACTATAAAAGTGGAGTTAATATAATCTAGTCATTCTCATTTCAGTTCCATCTCAATAATGATGTTTCAATTCCAGCATCAATTTTCATTCACACCTAAACATAAAATCAGATATAGCTTTAAAAGTTTATCCACTCAGAGTGATCTCCTCTGTTTTCCCTCATCCCATGGTTTATGTGAAGCTATTTGAATTCAACATGAACCCCAGAACTTTCTTTTCTTAGAGAGAATATCAGTGAGTCCTTCATACCAAATCACACAGAATTTCATTGGTGTGTATATTGCTTATAAATACTCTTGTAATTTATGAGCTTCAAAATTATGCATATGAGCATCAACCTTTCAAAGCTGCAATTAAAGACTTAAACAATGACTTTTGTGATAAGATTACCATTGGATTGATATGAAGAAGGTATGCCTCTGCAGATAAACTTATCCGCTGCTTCTTTTGGCAAATGCTGGAAAATGTTCATCTCATGTGTCTCACTCATTTGCTAAGCTTCCAGGAAAATAGCTTCCAGGGACACTGTTTAAAGGGTTGATTATTCTTCCCTTACTTTTTTATGCCTCACATGCCAAAGCCCTTTATTAGCTAATACTGCATAAGAATCAAACACAGAAATTTAGATTTGAGATTTTTCTGTTCATTATTGAGTTCACTATAATTGATTCCTGGATGCTTTAAGATTCTTGCCCTTTTTTCTCACAGGATCTTTATCCATTTTGTATAGGGAGATCCTTCTGTCATGGTGAGTTTCTATCCAGACATTCCTGAAGATGAGGCATCTGTGACCTGTGGAAAATTTGTCTTCCTTATGGACTGCTCAGGAAGTATGTGGTGCCCCATGAATAACCAGAACCAGTCTCAGTCACGCATAGAGGCAGCCCAAGTAAATCTAGTTTCTTATTCTGAGTCAGGTAGACAAGTGAGGATGAATCTGAGGAGTTAAAGTGGGGTGCATTTGGAGGTGTAGGTCTATTCTCCACCTGAGCAGCAGCTAGTACGACCACTCTGAGGCCTTGGAAGGTAATGTGGCATGAAACCAAGGCGACAGGCTACAGCCCCAAGAGTTGGCTCGGCAGGGTCTGAGAAGGTCCTGTCACTCTATCCTTATCCTCTCTACCCTTCAGAAAACACTGATTCTGCTGCTCAAGAGTTTGCCTATAGGCTGCTATTTCAACAACTATCAATTTGGATCTTCCTATGAGAAATTCTTTCCATAAGTTTCTGTAAAGATCAGAAAATTAATCCTTTAAAGAAAGGGATTAGATTGTTAAAGATATTACTGGAGAATTCATCTATTCTTTGGGGATTTCAGGTGGGATTACTATTTGATTTGGATTTCTCAACTATGTGCAAAGTCCAACTGCTGTTCTATCCCTGTATTTGTCTCTTTCAGGAAGAGTGTGAACTCTACTCAGGAAACAATGGAGGAGGTGGTGAAGAGAATTAAGCTCATGAGCAAGGACCTAGGGGGAACTGAAATCTTGGCACCACTTCAGAACATTTACAGGAAGCCCTCCATCACTGGTCACCCCCTACGGGTAGGAATTGGAACAGACTTAACAGAAGGACACAGGGAAATGAAAAAATCAATCCCTGAGCTTCACTGCAGGAGTTTTAAAATGTGATGTATAATTGGAAGACTCTATTTTATAATACTTAACTCAGTCTGATGGACAGGGGAACTGCCTTTGTGGATTGCCCAAAAGCCTCTGACAAAGTCAGTGTGTGGAGGAGCTGAAAATCCCAAGAGTTGCAAACAGACCTGTGAGGACGATGTGCAGTGCCAGGGGAAGTGCATGCCTGTTTGAAGAGCCCTGGAGTCTCTGGAATGAAACAATTAGAGTTTTCAAGAGCAAATTCTGATACCTTACGATGAATTTAAAGTTTAATGTGTATTTTCTTTCTTTATACAGCTTTTTGTCTTCACAGATGGAGAAGTTGCTGAAACATTTAGTGTAATTTAAAAAGTTCAGTTTAACCACGAGAAACATAGGAACAATCTGAATGTGATTTTTGCTGGGGTGACCAGACCCTAATGGTGCCACTTGCAACCTACAGCCTCATAATACCAGTGTTTACATCAGGAATTGTCCTCAACACAAAATATGTATTGTATAAATTTTTACTATTACTATAATTATTATCTTATATTCATCTACACAGAAAATTTTAGTGAGTTCTAGGTAGAGATTTCTGATCAATAAAAACATTTCAGTTTTTATTTCATACATGCAAATAATGTAAAACTATGCATGTAAGCACTATATATATAGCAAAGGGGACAGTTCAAAGTTCATGTTGGAAAAGTAGCAGTGAGGACATCAAGACGCTGGCAGAATTTGGCCTTCAGAGAGAATGATACCAAATTAATTGCATTCAACCTAATGTGATGTCACTAGATTTGAGGATGATGACTCACACTGACCAAAATGAAAATAGACTTGTTATGCAAATCTAAATCCATAGTATTAATTTACAATGGAAACTATTTTTTCCTGCTGTTTATATTAGTATTACCAAGGCATTCTCTGTTCATAGATACATTTATTTGAGAAATCAGACAGGTTCAGTTTGTTTTGGTGCACACAAACTAGGACACAGTAAGATCTTTTCAACTGAAAATCAGAAGGCCACATATTAAGAATGGCCTTCCTGGACAGATCCAGTACCCTAATAGTACCAGGAAGGTACACAGAAAAAGTTTCTATATTTTCTTTCCCTTGTCAGAGTAATGTTCTGCTCAGCATAATGCTTAGTGCCATGTTGGCCATTTGGTAGGGAAATGAATGTGGATAGATTTGTTAAGTTTTCAGGTACCCAGTTCTTTATGTGGGAAATGGAAGAGAAACCTGATGCCAGAGATTCAGCGTGATTAAATTCTACTACTAATTTCAGGTTATTTTAAAGTTCCCTGAATATACAACATGTTCAGTGAATGGCTTCTATTACAGTTCTCATCAGGGAAGTAGATTAACTTATCCTGTAGTTGTCACCATTCCTTGTTAATTGTGTAAATCCACTCTTTAGTGCCCATGTCTAACCTCCAGTTATTTATAATTGCAGATGTTTCTCATTTGGCATTGGAGAAGGAATTTCCACCAGCTTAATAAAAAGCATTGCCCAGGTGACAGGGAGCACTTCAGAGTTCATCACAGGTAAGGACAGGATGCAGTTCAAACTGAGGGAAAAGCCCTGTGTCCAGAGATGGGCACTCCAGACCAAGTACACAGCAGGGTAGGGGACACTGCTGTAAGGGCAGGAGCCCATCGTGCCTGCAGTGTGCGTTTTCCCAAAGGCCTGGGCTTTGTCCTTAGCAGAGCTACATGTGGTCTCATATAAATGTGTCCACTGTACATCTGGAATATGGCCTAATTAGTTGGAAGACCAGAAATAAGAATTTAAAAGAGGTTGAGTCTTTTGTATTTGAGAACAAATTCAGAGAAACTAAGAGCTTTGGCTATCATGTTTGAGACTCCAGACCTGTGCTTCAGGACCTCTTTTAGTGGTAAATTGATGGTCCCTTATCAATGCACACAAGGAGATATCTCTGGTTCTATTTCTAAACTCCTTTTTTCTTTTTCTTTCTTTCTTTTTTTTTTGTACTGGTGATTGAACTCAGTGTCTCTCAATCACTAAGCCACATACCCAGCTCTATTTTGTATTTTAGTTAGAGACAGGGTCTCACTGAGTTTCTCAGCACCTTGCTTTTTGCTGAATATGACTTTGAATTTGCAATCCTCCTGCCTAAGCCTCCTGAGCTCCTGGGATTACAGGTGTGCACCACTGCACCCAGCTCTAAACTCTTCTTTCCCTGTTTCTGCTCTGTCTTCTTTAGTTCCATTATCTGGATATCAACTTCCCCTAGTATATCTTCATTCACATTTATGCTATTAAATCTCTCAACCTTTGCTTTCTCATGTGTAAAGCAAAAGAGATAATACCCACATCCCAAGATAGTATTAAGAATTAGGCATAACATGTGTTATGTCACATAGCACCTGATACATAATAAACATTCAGTTAATTGTGGGTATCCTTCTCATCCTTATTTGTTTCTGCCTATTTGGTTCCCTTTCCACCATCAGGCTCTTAGGTCCCTGAAGCACTCTCTACAGCCTGCTACATGCAATATCTCTCTGAACTGGAATTTGCCTCTTGGTGTGCCTGCTATCATTCTTTCCCCGGAACCAACTGCCATGTTTAAAGATCAGAGGTTAATCATATATGCCCTGCTCATTGGTAAAATGCAGGTGAGGCAGATTAGCAACTGCCCTGACAATTTCAATAAAGTTGGTAGGTAGATTTACATTTCAGCAAGACTGCAAATCCCAGGGAGAGCCAGCCCACCATCTTCCCCATCGTTTCAAGTCTCTGACTTCCTGGGCTATCTGATGGCTATTTAGAGATTTTAATGTGCTGAGCTGAGGAGGTGCCACTGTTCTAATCATTTGGTCATTTCTGCCTTCCATCACTTCTCTTCTCTAATTTTTAGGCAGTTGAGTCTACAGGAGAAGTATGCCTCAAGTACATGCTCTAGAACAAGAGTTTTAAGCATAAGCTGACATTTTCTCTACAACCCATGCCAGATGCCAAGTAAAAATTCAGTTTCCCTATTCTTTTCCCACATTTCTCTTCATTTTTCTTCCCTTTTTCTTTTTTCTGTCATCCTTGCTGTTTGGTTTCCTTTTCTTGATTTTGTCTTTAATTTTTTCCCTACATTTTCTTTTTTCTTTATAAAACATCCAGTCTTGTCTCTGCTCTTCTCTGACCTTTTCTTCCTTTTGCCATTCCTAACATTTAGAACCCAAAGTAACTGTGGGTGTTTTCTGTAAGTCTTGGAATGTTTTATTTCATTTTTTCTCTTAGATTCACCATTCACCATCTTGCTAAAAAGTCCTTGACCAGAGAAAAGACTTGGGTTTCAGTGAGACCCTAGTTAAAGATAAAGAAGATGTGTTAAAGATCAGCATTGAATCTGGAGACATCAGCTCCTTTACAGAATTTATTGCTATAAACAAGGAGGTTAAATACCCAGTTCAGGGGCCCCTGGCTTACAGGCAGATTCCAAGGCCAATTCTGTACAATGATGCCTATAGGAGGCCAAGAATGTGTTTTCCTGGTGAGTTTATCCCATTCAGACTCCCACAGACTAAGTGTCCTGGATATCTGAGCATACTATTTAAAGGAAGAGCTTGTGAAAACCTGAAATTGTCTCATTTTCCTTGTGCCTCCACATTCAAGGTTGTCTGGTGAATGTTAAACATTTTTTCTGTGCTAAGGAGCTAAAATGTGGCCCACTGGCAGAGAGATTTAATATGGAAGGATATTAGAATATAGGAAGTACAGAGAAGCATCAAAAAACCAAATTATTGCCAGGCACAGTGGCACACGCCTATAATCCTAGAGACTCAGGAGGCTGAGACAGGAGGATCTTGAGTTCAAAGCCAACCTCAGCAAAAGTGAGGAGCTAAGCATCTCAGTGAGACCCTGTCTCTAAATGAAAGACAAAATAGAGCTAGGAATGTGGCTCAGTGGTCGAGTGCCCTGAGTTCAATCCCCAGTATCCCCTCCAAAATAAACCAGTTTAAATCTGAAGCTAATTTATCAATGATATGGTAAATGATCTCCCAGATGGCTAGTGTTTGTAATGACCTGATACTGGGAGTGGTAGAAGAGAGGACTCAAGCAAAAGAAAAATAGCCCCTGAAGTTAGTTGGAAAGTTTCTATTTCTCCCCCAGGGAGAAGTAGAAACATTTGTGTAGAAGAGGGTCCAGTATCTCAATTTATGTAGTGGAACCCAACTACTAAAAAGAACCATAGTATATGTGAATCTTGTCAGCATTACTCAGCAGATTTGGCATAAGAATGGAGCAAGTAGAGAGTTGGGCTAATTTCAATGTTGGGAGTTTGCTAGATAGGTGTGATGAAAGCAAATTAACAATATGGAATTGAAAATATCAGTAATGGAGTGGCAACTGTTGGACTTGATATTTAGATTGCATACAGAATAAAGATGAAAGGAAGTTTATATCTGGGAAAAAATAGAGAAATCAAGACTTATATATTTTAGATGAGGTCAAAGTTTAGGTAAAATAAGAATGTCTATGTAAGAAACTGCAAAAATGAATATTTTAAAAGTAAGATTTTTTTAGTTTATTTTTTATAAATGGCACAATTCTGCATGATAAAAGGCTTATCATGTCTGGGAGTGTAAAATTGAAGGAGAAAATAGAGCCAAAGTCATTGAATTTGAGGAGGTTAAGAAGCTTTGCATCAGGAAACTGGGTAGGCTGTCTCCATGGGTATGCTGAAAACCTTCAAGATGATGGCAGACCTTAGAATGAAGTAGATGTCTACAATCTGGGTTTCAGAAGCCTTAATTCCTAAAAAGGATAATGCAAATCGATTGCAAATTTACCCACTAATTGTTTCATGACAAGAGAGCTCTCTTGAGAAATATATATTGAATGTTCTGGTGAGATTGATCCTCATGAACAGACCATGAGCTAACACATTCCCTCCCCCCGCTGCCGCCTTTTTCTCCATCTCTCCCCCATACTTTGTTCAGGGAAACACTAATTATTCTAAGGATATACAGAACACTTATCCAAATCCCTAAAATGAATGGATTAATAATAATCCTCTCTCATGGGGTCTGCTGCAGTCGTGCTAGGAAGCAGTAGTGATATGGTGGAAACTGAGCTAAGCTTGGCAATGCCTGGGCTCTTCTGTTGTTTAACCTTAGGAAAGAGCTGTAAGTTCCTGTGTTCATATTTGTAAAATTGTGTTAAGACACACCATCTTACACATTTTTTGATAATCAATCCAAGCAACATGAAAATGCACTGGAAAACTGCAACAACCACAAATGTTAGAGGAAATTGCTTATGAATGAGTGTTTAAAATTACAATTAATGATGAATTTGTTTTTCTTTATAACTCAAAGAAGGAGTCATACTGTTTTTGATTTGAGATACAGCTTTATCTTTAACCAACTTAGTTACCCCAGTTACTTTGATTAAACACTTAGAGACTAAATTGTATACCTTAAAATATTGGGGAGATACTACCTGTCTAATAAATTTACGGTATTAAGTTAAAGAGATTGTGTTTACAGATCACACAAGACAATGCCAGAACATAGCAAATGAACAATAAGCCTTAGCTATTATTAAAACTATTGTCTAGCTGGGCTCAGTGGTTCATGCCTGTAATCCCAGTGGCTCAGGAGGTTGAGGCAGGAGGATCTTTGCACTTTAGGCAGCTTCATTAATGTTTCTGAGTTTCAGTTTCTTATCTGTGGATCTGAATAGTAATAATAATGGTAACTTATTCTTATTAGTACACTTAAAAAATAAATCACACTTTTAAAAGTTTGATCCCATTCTTGGAATATAATAAGCATTCATTATATGGGTGTGTGAATGTGTGTGTGTATGTATGTTCTATTATTATTACCATTATCATTACATATGTATTCAAGTATTATTACATTATCTTTATGTATATTCAATTATTATTAATAGTATTATCATTACTAAGTGAATAATGAGAAGAAGAGAAACCAGTAGGGGTTCTGTTTTTGGGATTGAGGTCTCTGATAGCTTCATGACTGTGGCATACTTGGTGGCTAGGAAGTTTCTGTGCAAAGACACAGAATGCCTGGCTGCTGGGAAATCTTCTGTGCAAAGACACAGGATGCCTGGCTGCTGTACCTTCATGTTCTTCATGAGGAGGCTCTGTGTTAGTCTTATCAGCCTCAACCTTGATCCCAGGCACACAACTCTGGGAATAAAGGAACTCTCTTGTTAGACAACCATAATGTATCACTGAGCCTAAACCTGCACACATAACAGTAACTTTATACAATGAACTTTCTTGAGAGCTATACAAAGCTCCTAACACATTGGAACTTAGTATATAACTGAGGAATACCTTGCATAATGTTTCTAAGTCTGTAACCTGCCTAGTAATACAATGAACACTATGTACTAATGATGCCAATGACCTAAAGTAACCTATTGATGTAAATAAGGCTTGGCAGCTTGACCTCTCTGCCATTCTGCCATCTTTCTTTCCTGCCTCTGCATTTTGTCTCTGTCACTTTTCATTTTCCTTACAGGAACTTACATGTCCCAGGCACCACACCACACTTCACTTGTATAACCTTCCTGATTAGCGGTGTTCTTTGCTTTTATTCTACATGAGTCACTGTATTTCCCACTTCTTCAGTAACATGAATTTGACACTTTCCTTGCTGCTGCTATATTTTGCTAATATTTTCAAGTTTCTATAGTCCATGTAGAATAGATTAAAGGGATAGAAAGAGCCAGAGCACTTTCTTGAGATAGAATTGTGGATCTTAGCATTATCAAATCTAGAGGAATGTAATCTGAAGAGGATGTGATATAAGACTACTCAATAGTGTTAACAAGACATTTACTTGAAAATAATTACAAAATACAAGCATTAATGGAAGGTGCTTAATGAACTATGTTTCAGATGTATAAAATAAAGAAAGAATTTTTCTTAGGATTTAGGGGATTTTTTAAAAGAATTTTTAGTTGTACATTGTAATTATATAGAGAGAGATTTATTAGTCATAATCTAACATGAAAATTACAGGATTTGATGAGTGTCATTTGCCAGTATCTTCTCTTTCTCTCCTCTCCTGCTTTCCTTGATCTACTTGTTCTACTCATTTCATATCTCTTCTACTATTATAATTATGGCAATTATTAGTATTATTTTAATTAATGGATTATTATAATATAACTTGTATATATAATATACATAATCATACAAATATGATTTTATATATATATATATATATATATATATATATATATATATATATATATAAATAAAACATTTTTAAAATGCTGAACCATTGCTTGGAACATAGTAAGCATTCATAAATTTTATATTAATATATAAAATTGAGATACATGTACATCATGTACATCTGATTCATTGTGGTATATTTGTACATGGACATAGCATAATTTGGTAGACTCTGTTTCCCCACACTTCCCCATGTCTTCTGTTTTCTCCCTCACTCTTGGTCCCCTTCCTCCACTCTGTGTGTGTCTCCCTTCTATTTTTATGAGATTCTTTTGTAAGGCGAATATCAGGTAAAGCCATTATTCATATTGAGTGCCTAGTTTCCTAACACTATTTTTTTCTGCTATTTGCAGAGTCTAATGGATAATTGGAGTTTGTTACTTAAAGATATGAGAATTCAAAATATAAGTGTGATCAAAAAGATTATATCTATGGGAAAAAGTCTCCTAACTTGGGGATATTTTGAATATTTATGTAAATTTCTCCTCTTGTCATAGTAAACAATCATTTCTCTTAAAAATAGTTTTTCCAAGATTGGATTGACTGACTCTGAAATAGCCACATCTTTTTACCTGAAATTTTTACATAGATTTTGCTCTTGACTTTCATATGTCAAGTTGCTTCTTTTTAAAAACATAGTCAAAGATTAATAATGTGACATTGTTGTACAGATTTTGGTGTTTCAGACTCCTTCTCACGGTTAGATTTTCTTACAGCTATGAAGATTCCGTTCGTGGTAACTGAGTTTGTCCTGCTAATAGTCCCAAACCAGAGGGTCTGGAGACCATGCTCTTCATCTTGTTTTTGTCCTTTTATGTCTTCACCCTCATGGGGAACCTGCTAATCTTGCTGGCAATTATCTCCTCCACTTGGCTTCATACCCCCATGTACTTCTTCCTTTGCAAACTGTCTATTTTTGACATATTTTTCCCTTCTGTGAGTTCTCCCAAGATGCTGTTCTATCTGTCAGAGAACAGCATAGCCATCTCCTACGTGGACTTCGGGTCCCAGCTCTTCTACCATTTTCTGGGCTGCACTGAGGGTTTTCTGTACACAGTGATGGCCTCTGAGTGCTTTGTTGCCATATGTTTCCCTCTACACTACACCATAATCATGAGCCACAGAGTGTGTGCCATCTTGGCTGCAGGGACCTCAATTGGGGGCTGCATTCAGACCACCTTTCTGACCACTCTCACCTTCCAGCTGCCCTACTATTATCCCAATGAGGTGGACTACTACTTCTGTGACATCCCAGTGATGCTGAAGCTGGCTTGTGCAGACACTTCAGCCCTGGAGATGGTGGGGTTCATCAGTGTTGGCCTCATGCCCCTCAGCTGCTTCCTCCTCATCCTCACCTCCTACAGCTGCATCCTCTGCTCCATCCTGCAGATCTGCTCTGCAAAGTGCTGCCACTGTGCCTTCTCCACCTGCAGTGCCCACCTCACGGCCATCCTGCTTTTCTACATGCCAGTGGTCCTCATCTATCTAAAGCCAACCCCAAGCCCCTGGCTGGATGCAACTGTGTGGGTCCTGAATAATCTGGTCACCCCCATGCTGAACCCCTTGATTTACAGTCTCAGAAGTAAGGATGAGGAAGGTCCTCCACCTGCTGGGCTTCCTTCCTGAATAATTGTAGAGAGAGATCAGTAGCCAACACTTCAGCCACACATCACAGCTGATGAAATACTTTTATTTGGATTGCATAAGGTATTATTATTATCTCCATTTTACAACCTGGGGGACTGAGATGCTGAGAGTTAAAGTGACTTGTCTCAGGGTGTGTGAAGAACAAATAGCAAAATGAAGACTCCAGGGTTGGTCTTCTGACACTGGGTTCCATGTTTTCTTGTGGACATTACAGGGTTCATAAAGAGAAAGGGAACTTTTCCCAGTAGGCAGAAATAAAATGGACCTTCTGCTTCTCAGTCTTAATTGTCTTCATCCTTTTTCATTCCTATACCTCATATTCTTCTCACACTGATGTTTTTTCATGTTAGCTACAGTGTTTGTCTCCCCAAACCATTAGATAACCCATTATTTTATTGGCTAAAGGGTTGTTAGGGAAGTGAGAGAGATGTATTCTCATGGCTTCCAATAGCATCCTATTACTTCAGAACCACAAAGAATGTGTATAAAGAAAATGCTTCTTGCTAGGACCTTGGGCAGGTTTCTCAGTGAAGCAGAAATGCCAGTCTTCAATACCACTTACAAACCCTGACTTTTGGGCTTAGACCTGGAAATAGGCATTGGTGGTAGACATGCAACTTGTGAATGGGAAGAGAGAGGAGATAAAGGGATCCGTGGAGAGGGGATTGGGCTCTGATTCCATGTTAGAAAATCTGGACTTGTCTTTGCCTCGTTCAGTACAACCAATGGGCAATGCTGAGTATTGCTGGGTTCCAGCTATTGTTTTGCTGTGTTTTGGTCTTCTTTGTTTTACTAAAAGGGTTTTGCTCTGATTTATCTTCCTCTATTTATTGATTTTTTTGGTTCAGCTAGGCTATGAATGAGAAATATTTCATTTCAATCAGTCCAGGTATAATTTTCATGATCGAATTTTAAAAGTATACTATCATGCTTGGGAAACACTGATGCTGTAACGTTTGTTGTGGAATGAATTTGATTAAATTATATCATTTCACTATATATGAATATATCACAGTGAAACCCCCTATTGTGTATAATTAATATGCAACCATAAAAATATTGTTTAAAAAGCAGATGTGTCTGCAAATTAAATGGAAATTATTTGAAAAAAAATTATAGAGAAGAAAAGATCCTGGTAAAAAAGGTGATAGAAAAGGAGTGGGTAGAGACAGAAGAAAGGCTTTTCTTTTATCTTCTCTTCTCATAATTAGAAAGCAGCCAAGGAACCTGCCAGGCCCAAACAGCAGTATGTGTCTGCCTGTAACCACCAGGGTGAACTGGCACATGGTCCAGGAAGGTAGGCAAACTTTTGCTTGATATTACTGTGAACCTCCTAAAATCCTTCTATTGCCGCTGTTTACCTTTTCCTTTTCAGTAAACAAAAGCCTAAAAGGGACATGGAAATACATCCCAGGTTATTTGAATTTTACTGTATCACAAACCCTTCTCATTCCTCTTAGGATCCACTCTAATGATTCCCTTCCTCAGTTTCCTGGCTACATATGGTCATTCAAAACAGAACAATCTATAGGAATAAATATGGGCTCCTGCTTCTTTTCCAATTTTGCTCATTATGTATCATTCGATGAGTAATCCCAAGCTAGGATTGGGGATTTCAGAGACACTAAGAAAGTCAGAGTCTGCTGAGGAAAAGAAGCAGATGGGCAACTGACCAGAACATCCAGGGTTCACACTAAGACCAAGGTAGAAATTGAAATCAGAATTAGAAAGCAGCCAAGGAACCTGCCAGACCCAACCAATAGAGGAGTATTATCCAGGAAGAAACAGCATACTTCTCAGTTTTCTCTTAAGGGATTGGGGAGGAGGATGAGAGAAAATTTCTTGGGCTGGCACCTTTTAACCATGAGCCATTATGAGGAGATGTCTTTGCGGGAAGGTCAAATTTATTATAGCTTCTGATTTCAGGGTTTGTCTCCAGCTCAGCACATTGTTCTTGGATTGGGGGAGAATCCTGAACAAAAAAAACTCCATCCATATCTCCTTAAGCAAATTAACTTCTCTGTCCCAGCAGCTTTGAGAGATTCTGATAGCTCTTGGATCTCTGGGTAGAACCTGAACACTGTCCTCCCAATCAGGAGGCAGAAGTGCCAGGCCCAGTCTGGGGCTGTGGAGGCCCAGGTTGGCTTTCATTGTAGGATAAGATTTTTATAGGTTTTATCACATAAGTGGCAGTAAACAAAAGCATTTGAGAAAAAGTTCCAGTCAAAGAAACCTTAATTCAGGTAGCCCAACCCTCAGACTAATCCACAGGGGCAGATGAAATTGAAGAATCAAATTTTAAGACAAGGGAGGCCAGAGAAGAGGAATATGGGAATAGAGGTTCCGAGGATGTTTTGAGCAGGTAGTGCTGTAGGGCAGCACTTCCTGAGATACTCAAGAGCTTCAAGCATGGCTCAGGGAGCATCCAGCACCTCCAACCCAGATTCTAGATTCTTTAAAGGCTTCTACATTTATTCCAACCATTTCTATAAGATACCATAATTTGTTATAAAGCCAAAGCCTGTTCTGAATTTGAGCTGTGTTTTGATTTATCTGCGGACTCTGTGTAAAACTAGGACATAGACACTAAAAGTGAAGCCCAGATGATGGTACTGACAAGGACAGGAACACCCTGGAGAGAGGCTTTCAAGGGAATATCCACAGGGGTCAGGCCCTGCACCAGTCATTCCCTGCTCTCCCTAGTGACTTGTTCCCGATGAAGTTGACTCAAATTAATGAATAACCAATCAGAAGTTATGTTCTCAGTCACCCACGCTGCAAGTTTTTGGTCAAAAATCCTAATTTTACCTTTACCAGAATAATCAGTCAAGAGAATATCATTATTATATCTCTACATGGTGTACTGGTTGACGGGGGTTGAAGGGTAACAATGCCTGTCATTATTGGAATGCTAGATTGGTGAGAAACAATCTTGCATATTACTTATCATTCCTTTGTTTTATATTCCAGGGCTTAAACAATTAATTTAATTCTCATTTCAATGATATCCTATAATGATGTCATGAATCATCTGTCATTGTCCTTTTTAAAATGTGTTTTATCAAGTATTAAAAAATCAGAAGATAATATTAGTGGTAAAATATGTAAAATATTTTTGTACCATGATACATTAAGCACACATGTGTTTATTTCCTCTACCCACTAAAGGAAAAGAGCAATGCCAGTGAAAATTCCAAGTAGTTTCTGACCTGATCCCATTCACTTTACTCCTTCTACATGCCATAATTTTCCTGAATTCTATGTTTTCTTTGAGTTTTCCCTCATATTTTTTTTAAAGAGAGAGAGAGAGAAAAGAGAGAGAGAGAGAGAGAGAGACAGAGAGAGAGAGAGAGAGAGAATTTTTTAATATTTATTTTTCAGTTTTCGGTGGACACAACATCGTTATTTTTATGTGGTGCTGAGGATGGAACCCAGTGCCCCTCGAATGCCAGGAGAGCGCATTAGCACTTGAGCCACATCCCCAGCCCCTCCCTCATATGTTTTTGGTTCTAAACATTATATAACAAGGTTTTGAACCTTATATCAATGATGTTTGCTGTTAATATTTGCTTTTTTCATATAAATGTTGTTTGGATACTTATATATTTGCATGTCTGAGATTAATTTATTGATTATTTTCAAAGTGTAGTAGCCCATTTTATAAATATATCAACTTTGCAGAGCACAAAGGTAACATCATCAAGGTCTCCTCAAGATTTCCTTTCATAAAAACAAAAAAGAAGGAGGAGGAGGAGAAATGGGAAGAGGGAGGAGGAGGAAGGAGGAGGGAGGAGGAGGAAAAAAACAGGAAATCTACTCAGGATTTTCCCAAAGGTTGGGATATAAGCTCATTTGGAAGATACTCCCAGGAAGCATGGTAAGGGATTAGTGAGAAAAGAAAGAACAGCCAATCAAGGATATATTTATGGTTCACCACTATGAAGAACTATGGTTTAATCCCATTAGGAATCCTCTGAAAAATGGTGGAGGAAGATCTCCATTATTCTACCTGGGCACAAAGGAAGCTGGGGTATTTTTGTATCAATTATTGCCCAAAATTTATTAGTGGATGTTCTTGGGAGCATTAGAGAAAGTTGGAAAATCTTCTTTGGCCAGAGACAGCCTTAAGGCAGAGGACATGGGGATCCCTCAGGCTACAAAGACACTCTAAAGGTGACCTCTGGAGTAGCTTGAAGAATGTGGACAGACATCTTAAGATGGGTTATGATCATGATTAATTTAATTTCTAAAGTACTATCTTTCCACAATGCAAACTACATGATGCTGCTCTAATTCTTTGATAATTGTTTGTCACTTAAAATTAAATTAAAATAACTTAGTAGTTTAGTATAATATCTGTGGATTAATAACTAGAATCAATTATCTCTTTAGTCTCCTCAAAGCCATACAGTACTCCAGCACTACATCCATCTCTCTTCTTCTTGTCGTTTACTCAAGATCCACTTTGCACTTTTTTATTCATCCACTTACTTTTGCTATTTTTTGTTTGTTTGTTTTTGTACTGGGAATGGAATCCAAAGGCACAATACCTCAGAGGTATGTCCCCAGTTCTTTTTAATTTTTATTTTGAGATAGGCTCTGGCTAAGTTGCTGAGTCTGGACTTGAACTTGTAATCCTCCTGCATTTGCCTCCTGGGTGGTTGGGGTTAGAGGTGTGCCACTGTGCCTGGCCTACTTGTTTGATAATAAACTATTATATCTTAATTACTTGTATGATAAGTACTGGAATTATAAGTCTCTGAATCTTAAGAGGCTCATAGCTAAGCATGGTTGGCAGACACAGAAATAATTAAAATATAAAATATAGTAAATATTTAATGAAAATACATAAAATATTGACTAGACCAATAAAGACAGAAATGATTAATCCTATACAGATGTTGGAGGTGATTTCAGAAAACATTTAAATTCAATCATTCTCTTTTGTATCTTTAGCTCCACTCCTCCCCCTCCTTGGGTTACCTTTTCCTAATTCCTTTGTGGGACAAACTTCTATTTATCTTTAAGACTCAAGCTGGAAAGTCATTTACTTTGTATAATTTCCCTATTTAAAACATTAAGTTCTGACTTCTCTGCATCAGTTTTATATCATGACATAAACCTACTTGCCATTATTCACCAATGTGTTTTTTTGTTTTTGTTTTTGTTTTTATTTTAAGTATACAACTATGATGATTTTTAGAATGGTCTACCTGTAACTTTATGAAAACTACCTTTATAAATTACAATTGGAGTGGAGACTACACAATTTATTTTGTGTCTATGTTGCAAACTCTACTCATTTCCTAAGTTCCTTAGGTCAACACCTTTTACCCTCCAACCCCTTCTCTGAGGTGATGCCATAAGTGCTTTGAAAACTACAGAGACCTATACAGAGCAACTTTCACTAATAATTACAAATAATTAAATATTGCTCCAAGCCTTCAGTAAACAACAAGGATTGAAATCATGGTTTTAAACATTTCAGTTATCATTTTCAGATAGGAAGTTGTTATCATGAAGTCCTCCTAGAACTGTATCTATGAGACTTTAATTTCTGGTCCTTTACCTAATAAACTACTACTTTTTCCGCCCAGAGACATTATTATACACAAGGGAGCTAATGACAGTTTCATATGAAAGATGAAAAAAACAAAATTAAACTGCTCTTACATCGTAACAGCTCATCCCTGGTGAAAGAAAATCTTGGGGGAGCTTCTACCTATATATTTTTATGACATCTATTATGGATCAGAACTGTAGACAAAATGAAATCATTTTAATGAGTTTCTTGGGTAGCATTTGAGGAATCTACAAAGAGGAATTGTGGCATTTGATTTATAATATGTAAGTGAGCTCCTCGTATATTGAAATCTGCACTTTAATTCCATACGGAAATGAGAGCCCAGGAGTCTATGATGAACTGCCACCACCAAAATCATCCAGAGGCTTTTGGTCTAAAGCTAATGTATAACCTGCATTTCTGTTTCAAAGTAGAGAAAGATTAACTGAATTCCAATTATTCTAGACCCTTTCACTCTCAGAAGGTATAAGGACTTTCATAAACTTGAGTCTCCTTATAATATAACAGTGATTCCATAGATCTACCTGAAAATGATTATTCATTCTTTTTGCAACAAATATGAAGGCAGAAAATTATCTTTTTTCATAATTCAACTCATACAGCTTCCAGGTATGTTTAATGGTAAAGATATAAAGATAAAACGTATCTTTATGGCTATAGATCCTCCCTTTGAGGTTTCATACAATAGATCCTATTTGTTGTTACTGTCATATAGATAATAGGTGTAAATTATTTTAATCTAAATATTAAATTTTTCTGAATAATTGCAATCTATATACCACCATCATAAAATATAGCCTCCCAGAATTAAGCACAATTCACCAGATGCAGTTTCTCTTGGGTATCTAGCACTTCCCTCATTTTGAATACTCTCTTTCTTATAAACAAATTACTGGTATTTATAGGTGTTTCTTCTCTGGATCCAGGGACTTTGATATGGGGAACTGTCAGGTCATTGCTTCTCCAATTTGAATGTTGTGCAGAGCTTAATCATTTCTACTTATATGAACTCAGGTTCCCTTAAAAAGCCTTCTTTGACCCCACTCTGGGCTAGCACTATAATGACCATGTTCCTACAGGACCCCACAGTCATGTTCAGCACAGTAAATTAGTGTTGGCTTCCCGTCCCCTTCAAGATGGTATCATTCTGAAGATGAGGAATTCTATAGCATTTGTCTCCTCATGCTGAATGCCCACAACAAACATTTGGCTTATCCTTGTCGAATTTGTTTTAAGATTAGTTCACATTCACAGCCCAATACTATCAACTTGAATCATTACAATTGTATAATTTTCCACCACTATTTTCTACTTGGGAATTCTCTTCAACCATACTGATTTCAGTCCTCCTTAGTTAGATTCATTTTTTCACTTTTGTTCTAGTTGATTTTTATCTCTGAAAAAAGTCATAGAATAAAATGTTTGGATTAAAGACATGCCTGCCTTATGTCTGTAACGTCTTCGCTTCTTCTTTTTTTTTTCTTTTCTTTTTTCTCTTTCTTTTTCTTTTATTATTTATTATTAATTGTGCTGCTGTAAACATTGTGATACATCCAATACTATAGTATATTGACCTTAATTTTTTGGATAAATACCAGAGAGTGCTATAGCTGGATCATATGATGTTGACATTTCTAGCCTTTTGAGGAACCTCCATGCTGATTTCCATACTGATTCTACTAATTCATATTTCTACCAACCGTGTAGAAAAGTTCTTTTTCCCTCATTCTTATTATGTTCAACTTACTATTTTTTTTTTCTGTGTTAGCCTCTGATTTGGGGATCTTATCTAAAGCCCTTACCATCAAATCCAAGGTCATAAGGATTTAGGTTTGTGTTTCTTTCCCTAATATTCTTAGAGTAATAGATCTTACATTTAGCTCTATGGCACATTTTTAATTGCTTTTTGTGAACTGTATGAAAAAGCAATCCAAATTAATTGCTTTACATGTCCCAATTTAATTGACCTAGTATCATTTGTTGAAAAAAAAGTTTTTCCTCATGGAATTGTCAATAAAACCTTATAATAACTTAATTCTTCATAGGTGTGAGTTTATTTTTGTATTTCCAATTCTATTTTATTGAACTGTGCATCTGAACTTATGGCAATACCATACTATATTGATTATAGTTACATTGTAGTAACTTCTCAAGTGGGAAATGTGAGAATTCCAAGTTTATTCTCCTTTCATCAGTTTGCTTTGATTTTTTATGACCCTTGAATTATTGTAGGAATTTTACAATCAGTTTGTAATTAACTGCTATAACATAGCCAGGATTTTAATAGAGATTACACTAAGCTTATGCATCAATTTGGGAAGTACTGTCATTTTGAAAAAATTGAGTATTGTTGATTCAGGAATGTGGTATGTATTTTCATTTAAGTAGGGCTTTTATTCCTTGTAACAATGTTTTGTAATTTTAGGCCAATTGCCTTGCATTTATTTTATTTAACTTATCACAAAATATTTTATTCTTTTTCAAGTCATTTCAAATGCAATTTTTGATTGTTCATTGCAACTGTAGAGAAATACAATTCAGTTTTTCTATTTATCTTGAATTCTCCATATTTGTGAACTTTAAAATTCATCCTCATAATTGTTTCCTAATGAGTCCTTAGTATTTTCCATAGACAAGCTTGTGCCATTTAAAAATAAAGATGGTTTTACATCTTGCTTTCAAATCTGTATGCCTTTTAATTTTGTTTTCTTGCCTAATTGCACTAGCTGGATCTTGTTGTATATTGTTGAACAAAAGTGGTGGGAGTGGACATCTTGACATGTTCATTACCTTCGGGAAAAGTTTTTCAAACTCTTTTCCTTTTGTGATATTGGCTGTATGATTTTTGTGTTGTTGTTATTTTAACATAGGCAAAATATTTGCTCTATAGAGCATTTGAAATTATTAGAAATAAGTCATGAAAAGTTCTCAAAACAGTCAACTATAGTTATCAGAAGAGTTCTTTGGATTATTAGGAACTAGTTACTAATAACCAGTCTTTTGCCAAATAATACAGATTAGGAAAATGCTGCTATTTATTGACATGTCCCATATTTGGGGGATCTAAAGTTTTTTGGCTGCAAACACAGATGAACAGTGGCCAAAGAAGTAGAAATATGGCTGAAAAAGCTTGAATTATGGCTCACACTTCAGTGAGATAATAAATACTTATATTAAATTCATTTCTCTTCCTCCAATAGGGTTCGAAGATAAAAATGACACAAGGAAACCATTCCACCACAGTGACAGAATTTATCCTGGCTGGATTAACAAACAAACCAGAGCTCCAGCTGCCCCTCTCCCTCTTCTTCATAGGAATCTACATGTTCACTGTGGTAGGGAACCTGGGCATGATCATGCTGATTGGGCTCAGCTCTCACCTGCATACACCTATGTACTATTTCCTCAGCAGTCTGTCTTTCATTGACCTCTGCCAATCCACTATCCCCAAAATGCTGGTAAACTTTGTGGTGCAGAAAAACATCATTTCCTACCCTGAGTGCATGACTCAGCTCTATTTCTTCCTAGTTTTTGTTATATCAGAATGCCACATGTTGGCTACAATGGCATATGACCGCTATGTTGCCATTTGTAACCCTTTGCTTTACAATGTTACTATGTCTTCTCAAGTCTGTTTTTGGTTGGTAGTTGAAGTGTATAGCATGGGCTTGATTGGTGCCACAGTTCACACAGTCTACATGCTAAGAGTGCTTTTCTGTAAAGCTGATATAATCAACCACTATTTTTGTGATGTACTTCCACTATTAGAGCTCTCCTGCTCAAGTACTTTTGTGAATGAATTACTAGTTCTGTGCTTTAGTGTGTTTAATGTCCTTGTCCCAACCCTGATCATCCTTAGCTCTTACATCTTCATTATTGCCAGCATCCTGAGCATTCGCTCCACTGAGGGCAGAGCCAAAGCCTTCAGCACATGCAGCTCCCACATCTCAGCTGTTGCTCTCTTCTTTGGTTCTGTTGCATTCATGTACCTGCAACCAATGTCAGTTAGCTCCATGGACCAAGGGAAAGTGTCCTCTGTGTTTTATACTATTATTGTGCCCATGCTGAACCCTGTAATCTATAGCTTGAGGAATAAGGATGTGAAACTTGCCCTAAATAAGTTCCTTGAAAAAAAAAAACTGCCCTGTAAAAAATAGTATTTTGTTTTAGTAAGAATTTACAATTTCTGGAGGTTTGATAAGGAAGCAGTCCAGAGATAGCAATATATATTTACAAGTCATGAGATTAATGCTAGTGTTTGATTTCTTGGAAGACAGGTGCCAAGGATAATACTGGATTACCCAGGATCAAATACGTAGAGAACAGCACCTCTTTGAGATGTGCCATGATCCATCTGTGCAAAATAACCTGATTCACATCTAAACACATTTATAAACCTTCAAAACACTCCTTAGGGTTGAATATACCTCATTTTAGGCAAGTTTTTTTTAATCTTAACTCTGGGAATAAATATATTTGGTCAGTATCCTTTTATATTCTCAATATTTTGTATACCTGTTCTTTTTAACTAAGTTTATTGGCAAACATTTTTGAAAGTTTGAGCTCTTAAATAAATAACCAAACATAACAATTTGTAATACCCAAAGTATAATGCCTAATTCTTACTAAGTTTGTAGAACACTATTAGGAAATATGGAAGCATGTGATTAGTGACCATTGTTCCAACTCACAACGAGATAGCACTATAGTTGGAAAGATTGACAATAATATACATGATGAATAATACTAGGAATACTTTTACATAAATTAAGCAATAATCCTTGCTCCTCATTTTAGGGATGATGTTACTGCCTCTACTTTCTTCATAATTCTATACTCATTTTCCCTTAATTCAAAGAGATAATTTTTTCCAAACTTCATTATAGAATCTCATAGTTTGAAATGATATTTTTGTTATTTACTTGTGCATATAATATTTCTTCCATTGGAAAATTTAAATATAAAAATTATCTTTTTTACTAATGACAAATATAATTTCTAACCAAAGACTATTATTCACTCAAAAAAATAATATATTTTTTTTTAGGGTTGGGGGAGCAGGGACCAAGGAAGAAGACTTCCAAGAAGTAAATTTACTTCTTTCCCCCTTTCTCATATTGATGTCTTTTCAAACAGCAAAAGAAAACTTGAGTTATTTTCCTGGAGGCAATTTCCCCCCTTATTAAGTCTCTCTTGGTGGCATCTATTAGATGTTCAGCTCCCACATATTCTCTTGGTGGTAGTTTAACCATGTCCACTTTATGCTTTGAATATAGTCTTTGCTGTTCTGTCAGATGCTTATTTTAAAATGGACATGGTTTTTCCCTTTTCTCCCACTCCCAAATTAGCAAGTGAATTCAGTCCCCTTTCAGGACATACCTGGAATGTAACCTTTGGATTACTTCTTTTAAAACTCTCTGTTTCCATGGATTGGCAGAATCTCAGCCTCTAGGTCAGGAGTCCCCTGTGTTTTTCCTTTGCTACTAAAGCTATAAAACTTTTTTTTACCTTTTTCTCAAACCATGTCCTCATTATTGGATTAGCATCAGGGACAAGGACCAAACTTTTGGTAACAAATTGGCAACCTAGGTGGGACCCAGTGCAATCCCTGCTCCAATTTTCTTGGGCAGGTCTAGCACATTGGACACCTCCCTCCCTACCTTCCATGCTGAGGATTCAAGGTATCTGGTAAGTTTTTTTGAAAGGTGACTGCTGGGGAATTAGGAGATTGGGTGAATTTCCCTTCAGCTAAATCAGAGGAGTTTTTCTGTAAGTAAAGGGAATGACTCAGGGACTGTCCTAGCAGCTGCTGAAGCTCCTTCTTTCAGAGAGTTTCTGCCTTCTTTCCTTGAACTGTACAAAATACTCCCTCAGGTTGGTCTAAGAGAAGCAATGTGTCTGACACATAAAAGGTCTAACTAACTTTGCCAAGAGATCTGTAAATGACAGTTAAAGGGATTCCTCTACTAAACATAGAGACAATGCCAACAATAAAAAGCTATTTTACAGAAATCAGATGACATTACATATCTTAACTACAGCTCAAGGGGACACCTGTGCCATAAAAACTAAATGCTTTGTGTGTTTCTAACAACTGTATTAATGTTCTAAAGTCTTAAATGGCCTCCACTCACAAATCAGTCATGTCAGTGCCATCTTAAGCTTTAATGAGTTACTGACTTCATGGTTTTCAGAGACTGGCTAAAACATTGTTTTTGTGCTAATTCTTTACCAAAAAATAAAGTTTTTCTGTCTTGTTTATTGTGGTCCTAGCATGATACCTGACCTATGTATGGCTACCATGGACCTCTGAACTGCCCAGATGCTAAATAACCTTAATTGTCTATGCCTCTCAAGATAGAAAACAAGGATTGGGAGTCACTTCCCCCCAACTTTACCCTCTGTCAACAGAAAGCAGCTTGGAGATATTGCCACCCAGTTTTACATAGAAATGGAAGGCAGAAATTGCCAGTGGGGAAATGTAATAGTGGTTTAAATGAAGGCTTTTTTGCTCTGCCCCTGAGGCTTATTTTAAAGCAAACATGTCAGGGCATACCTGAAATGTAATCTTTTAATCATCTTTTAAAAAATCCTCTGTTCTGGTAAATGGATGGAGTTGGAGTATGTATTGCCAAGTGAAGTTAGCCAATCCCCAAAAACCAAATGCCAAATGTTTTCTCTGATATGAGGAGGCTGATTCATAGTGGGGTTGGAAGGGTCTTGGAAGGACTGGAGGAACTCTAGATGGTGGCAAGGGAAGGAAGGGGGCATGGGAGTAGAAAAGATGGTGGAATGAGATGGACATCATTATCCTAAGTATCTGTATGAAGACAGGAATGGTGTGAACATACTTTGTATACAACCAGAGATATGAAAAATTGTGCTCTCTATGTGTAATATGAACTGTCACATAACAAAGTAGAATAGAAAATAAATTATAAATATCCTCCATTCCCCCAATGAGCAGAATCACAGGAGATCCTGGCATTTTTCCTTTGCCAATAAAGCAATAAAACCTTTTTTTCCCATTTTTCCAAAACTGTGTCCTTGTTATTGGATTAGCATCAGGGACAACAACTGAGCTCTTGGTAACAATAACAGTATCTACATTTTTTTTTCTTTTTTGTATCTTTCTAGAAGAAGTTCTCATACTTTTGGAGACAAGGTGTTTCTTTTTCACTTCAGTGCCTCTTCTACATGGCAGGCCATTGTTGTATTCTTTCTGACACCTCTAAGCTTTGAAGTCTTCAAAAACTTTGCATTAAGGAGAAAAGTATGTTCACCTCCAAATAACCTCATGCTCTTCCCTGCTCCTCTCTCTTGCACTATGTCCACAGATACAGCAAAGCGACACTTCTACTTTCAAAGCTAGCATGAGAATTTAACCTTGGTTAAGTTGCTTTTCTCTCATTTAAAAGGCATAAAACTGTGCTTGTGTTGTCATCAGCCGACCTTCTATGTGACAGAAACACCTCAATGCAAAGTCGCCTTTATGTCACCCTATAAAACTAAAAGTTGTAATGACAGAGAGAAGGCTATTCCCCCCTTTGAAAACTACAGGAAAACATTTTCTGAATTTTCTATGTGCTACTCATTTTTTATGTTCTTACTTCATTTTATTTTCCTAGAAAAATATCTATATATCTATCCATATCCATATATCTATACAAATATCTGATCCATATTTTTGTGGAGGATAACTCATAATACATATGTATATGTGAGGATTGTATTTGTATTGCTTGATCTGTTTTACAAGGCTTATGTGTATGTAATTTCCATTTTATTATGTGAGGTATTTAACAACAATATCCACTATATTTTTTCTTATTAATGGAACAATAGATAGAAATGACATTTATAAATTTTTTATTATGTTTCAAAGCATTCAGTTCTATGTTAAAACTGTTAAAAATGTTTATAAGAATTTACCTCCATCAACTTGCCTCAATCTTCTATTCAACTGTAAATTAAACTTACTTCTCAGCCACAATGAAAATACAATTCTCCAATAGTGATTTTCAATCCTTCTAGTTTGCATTTGACTTATTATTGTCCAACTGTACTGGACCATAATCTCCATGAAGGATCCCTCCCCACAAATATTTTATTACCACATCTCTAAGATATAGAACACACCTTGCCGACCAAAGGACCCTTATTGATTTTCTTATTTCTGTCTCATACTAATAAGAAAATCATATGTACCTCATAACATATATATTAATATCAGATCAATCTCAAGAAGCTACATGTTTTTTACCCTCACCCTTATTATGCTTAACTTTGTAGAATAATTCCAGAATTTGTAAAATAATGATGATGTTCTGAACAATAGTTTTCAAAGATCTTGAAGGAACAGTCCTGAGCTTCTTCTGTGACAATTTCTAGTACAGATGTGATAACTTTTGAATGTTCTTTTCTTGAATATCAAGGAGTTGTTAGATAAATATGCACTTTTTCTTGATTTTCATTCATGTGTCATAAAGATGTAAAAATAAAAATTTGTTGACACTTGATGAATAAACAGAAAATCTTGTGGTAGAATGATAACTGGAACTCAACTCAATGTGAGCTAACACATTCTCCACACACAGTATAGAGCATAATTTCATCTATGCTGGCATTGAAAATTTTTTTACTATGTAGATATTCAGTACATTATATAATACATAAAATGAACTACAATGAAATTTCTAAGAAGAAAAAGAGAGAACTATATTGTTAAGTAAAATGACCTGAAATTCTATAGCCAGAAAATATATTTGTCTGCCTTTTTTAGGAAAGTGGGGATAGGTAAATTCATTTGATTTGATTCCAGGTAATAAAGTCTACTTTGTTCATATAGGTTTATGCACAGACATGTTAGTCCAAACTGCAGTTTGTTCACACCTTTATTTGAGGTAATATAGGTGAATGAGATAAGTTGTTTAGGGTTGTCCCATGGGAGACCTAAAATTATGTCATATGTCAAATTAAGCATAATTTGAGGAAATTCCCTATCAATCATGTCGTCTATAAATCTGAGTCTAGGAGGAATCTGCTGTCAACCTATTTCTTTCACTTGAGACTGAGTTACTATGAGTAGTGATAATGAGTGGAAAATATACCAGAATCTGTCTCAAGAGAATGCACCTCTCTTACTATAGGGACTCATCTTTGAAACTCATTTTCTAACACATTCTTCCCCCATTATCCCTCTGTCTTCAGTCTTTTTCCAGAGAAAATGGCTATTTCTTCTTAGCCTGTTCTGCTTGTGGTACTTATGGAATCATTTGAATATCCATTTTTATTTCCCTTTCTTCAACTTACTTTAAGCTCCAGTAAGGCAAAGAATACACACTCAAGTATTTACTGATGATTACACAAAGCTACCCTGGTTCTCCATGTCATGTTCTCTCAGAACACCTTCCATTTAAGCAGATGTGAGATTCATCTTTTACTCCTTCAAAAGCTAAACCCACACTTGGATTGGGATACTTCATTTCAAATCTACAACATGAGCTTTTCACTTTCACTCAAAAGCTTCTCCACACTCCAGTGCCCATTTTGCCTATATGCAAGTCAGCCCAAGGAGTTCTTGCCTTTGTGGTTAGCCCTACTCAGTAGGACAGGAGACTGTATAAGAAAATCACATTTCCTGTCCCTCTGGGCACCCATCTTGGGAAACATTGCGCATGTTCCCAGAAGGAGGAGGCATAACAGAATCTCCATGGTCCTAACTGCACTTCATGCCATGTTAACTTCCCGTTCCTCCCAAAGCTGTAAAAATTATTTAAAAATCAACAGATTAAAATTCCACTTTTGCAGAATAATTTCAAACACTTCAAAGTAAATTAATTTTCAAATGTATTACAATTATTATCTCAAGATTATATTTATGAATATTTTTGGTAAGAATTTTAAATAAAATTTTTATTTCCATCAAATAACTTCCTCTTCACATAGAACCAAAGTAATTCTTATAATACACACTTTTCCATTTTTCCCCAACATTTTTCTTTTGTTTCCAGAAGAAAAGAAGTCATTGTTTTTCATTCATTGGCGCTTTAAGAACTCCTGATGGGTTTATGGCATCATCTACCAGATGTTTTTATTCAGTTGACAAATTAAAATATTCTAAGTGTTTCTGGAATCTTTTATTTCTTTCTCCCTCTCTCTCCCTCCCCACCTCTCTCTTCCTTTTCTTCAAGATGCCGAAAATCTATCTTAGGGCTTTGTGCATGCTAGGCAAGCAGTCCACCACTGCGCTATTACAGAGTACAACCCAAGTCCCAGCATTCCTGCTTTATAAGTAAATCACAATATTCAATACACTTGGTGAATGTCAATGAAAATCAAAACTTTCAAATCTTGCATAGTGTATTGGTTGCTAAAACTGGATGGCTTTAAACATCTGCAATTTGTAACATTTAAGGCTAAAAGTCTGAAGTGAAGAATTAGTAAGCACCCTGGGAAAAAATTTCTGCTGTGCTTCTTCCTTACCATTTGGTGATTGTCCAAAATCTACCCTAGGCTTATTTTTAAATAACAATACAAACAACTGTGAATATGATGTAACAATTGCAATAATAATCATTATTGAGATTTTCTGATCTGTCATGCACTTTGCCCAGGACTTCAAATGTGATATTTATAATGTTACTCTAGTATATGATACTACGATCATTCTCTCTGAAGAAATCAAAGCTTACAGAGTTTACACTACTTTCACAATGTCCCAAATGTATTAAGTGATCAACCCTCACAACTAAGAAATAAGTTTGGCTTCAGTAGGCATAACATAGCTCACAGTGCACTCTGACCCATGAAATGGGAGCAGATCTGAGGACATGCAAATTATAACTACCCTGAGATTTCATTTCATATCATCCCTTTCTGTGCACTGAACATTCTGATTTCCCGGTAGGACTATGCTGCTGTTCTCAGAATGTCTTTCATCTTCAATCCAATTTTGTTTTCAGATCAAATCAAAGTAAGCAAAGTCTTTCTTATCTGTTCTGATGGAAGCAAAATGGAGAACCAGGGCCTTTTTCATTAAAAAGACTCAAATTATAGTAGAAGATTACAACTGATTGTGTAAACCCATATTATACAAGATTGTCTTATTTTTACACCATTGATAATGTGGCAGTTTATGAGTCAACTGCTCTCAAGAGCACAAATTCCACAAATCTAGCTAATTCATAGCAGGTCCATGTGATGTGATGTGTGCTCTTTTATCTCATAATTCCCATAAGGAAATGTCAAAAAAAGTTT